CTGGTCACCCTTACGCTGATCATTTCCTTTATTCTCGTGACATTACTGTGTGATTCAGGGGTGATACTGTAAGGAGAAATTAGATACTGGTCACCCTTACGCTGATCATTTCCTTTATTCTCGTGACATTACTGTGTGATTCAGGGGTGATATTGTAAGGAGAAATTAGATGCTGGTCACCCTTAGCTGGGTTAAAGCATTGAGTCAATTTCAGAGAGGATCTTTGGCACCTACTTAATGATCTTAAAACATAACAAACCTTTGAACCATTGAGAAGAAAATGTTTGCCATCCTTGCTTAAAGTTGCTTTGGTCTGGATTGATGCTGCATCGCTTCCACTACATGGAAACAATAATAAATAAATTATTGCAAAAGAACAATTGTTTTTTCTTATAATTTCTTTACAAATTATTTACCTCTGAAAATCTAATAGTGTGTCTAGTTTTAAACACATTTTGCAGCTTTATTAAGTATTTACCTGTGCAATAAGGAGTCACTAGATAAAATATTTTCTGTCATAGGAGTTAGGCTGCCGACGTACCCACAATAAAATAAATGTTTTAAATACTAAGCAATGAGTGCTTTGTTCATGTACCTTGAGGGTTCTGTAAGACAAAATGCAGCCATGTGTTCACCAGAAGCTAGTCTTGGTAAATATTTTTGCTTTTGCTCTTCAGTTCCAAGAAGAAGAATTCCCTGTCACAAATCAGACACAAATCAATATAAAAGAACAGTTACTGTAAAAGCTTTTCTATCCTTGGCTGCAGAAAACCAGCTGGTCTGAAATAATTTATCCCCTCTAACCATCCCCTCTAGCTAAAATAAAACCCATAAACTTCTTAAAATTTCAAACAAAGGGGTTACCAATTCTACACGAAGTTTTCGATGTCAAGGTTAAAGATCTTTGACATGATTGGCTAATTAATGAAATGAAATGCGCCATGCATAAATACAAAAAGAGGGTAGAGGGAGAAGAAAATTGCATTTTGAAATTTAAAAACAAAAGAAATTTTCTACAACAGTATCAAAACACTTTAAACCTCTGAGATGATAAGGAGAGGAAACATCAAATTCTCAGAGCTAAAATCATGAGAAACTTATGAAAGGCAGTACAGAGAATTGACATATAGATCCTAGAAGTGAAAGGGCCATTAGGTAAAGCAACTCGCCTTCAGACCAATGGATTGATGTGCCATCAGTGTCACGGCAATACTAGCATCTGTGAAAGCTTCACAAACCCGGGCATAATTTGTATTTAGAAGACCAAGGCCACCTGAAGCATTTTAAAATACTTATTAGTAAATATCTTTCGCACAGGTCGAGAAACAAATCATTTTTAATTTTCAAAAATAATTAATGATTTCCAAAAGGGAAATATTCAGCCAAAGTTTATTTGGGGATGAAAAATTAGTAAATCTTCTTAATTGGTGGACTGGGGTGAAAAGCAAAGAGATTTGGCAATAATGCTTTCCTCCAGTCACTCACGACTTCTTGTAGGCAGTGCTACTAAACAGTGAGCTAGGTGCTCACAAGGTGCCATAAATGAAATGGATATGGATCTAGATGTGGTAGGTAAGTGTCCAAAACTAGACCTTACAGGTAATCTTTTTTGTCCTCACTATAGACCACTTTCATAAACGGCTGCCGGATTAATATTCTTTTGTTTAAATTTAAATTAGCCCTTGTGGCCTCGTTCTCCAGTACAAAATTCAAAATAATACAATATCTCAAGCAAGGCCAGAAGGGCTAATTTAAATTTAAACAAAAGAATTTTAATCCAACAGCCATTTATGAAAGTGGTCTATTGGTATTAAGTAATAAAGCATTAACTCATAATTTGATGGACTAGCTGGCTGTTTTTGAATCGAAGGAACACCAGCCAAATTAAATTTACCTAGTAGTAAATAAGTCTTCATCACATAGAAAATTAGTAATACAAAATAACGATTACCGCAACAAAGATGGATGACTACTAAAATATCTTACCATATTCTTCAGGGATCAGCAGACCAAACAAACCAAGTTCTTTCAGTCCTTCCATAACTTCTTGAGGAATTTTAGCTGTTTTGTCAATCTGGGCAGAATCAACTGTAAACAAATAAAAAATAATCAGTTGTTAGTCAAGTCAACAAGATAAATCCCTATACTTCATTTAATATATAATAATGTCTAAGGAAGACCCAGAGCATCTGGATACTGGACCACCTTTACTCAAATTTGATTCAACCAATTCTCTTGTCATTATCTTTGATTACCTTTCTCAACAAAATACTTTTCAACTGGTTCAACAAGCATGTTAAGGGTTTCTCGTTGTTCTTCATTCAATGGGTCTGGATATGGGAAAACTTCCTCCTACAAAGAGAGGGGAAAAAAAGATACTTTTATGCGTCCAATATCTGAAAACTTGTTTCACTCGTTCACTTTTTCTTTCTTCCATTCCTTATTTGATATATTTCTCCGTTCATTTGCGCATTCGTCCATCTGTTTCCTTCGCCCCAACCCACTCCCCGCCCACCTTCGATCCTTCTCTCTTACAAAACAATGCAATCGTGAATATCTTCCTTATGTCTTCTTCATAGGATAAAAAAAAATTTTTTTTAAAAAATTGGAAAATAGAAATTATCTTTTCTTTGACATACTAAGACAATTCAGTCTAAAAAAACTTTGAAACCGTGAGAGAACTCTCCCGTAATATCAAATTCTAGCGTGCGTACACAAGTCTGACTCGAATCAACGAACATCAACAAGCAAAGTTTTGTTTCAATTTGCTTAGTTATCGTTTGAAACATGTAGTTTTCCCTTGGCTGATACAAAATCTCCCTAAGATTCTACAGAGGAAATGGAAGATTATCCAAAGACCAATTCCGAATAGTGGAACTAAAATGAAAATTATGAGACCGGCCGATTACATAATTTTAGGATTTTTCTCAATTCAACCTCTTTTTTTCAAGAGAAAATGTAGGTCTCTACTTTGATCTCATACGCGGTTTTCTAATCTATTTCAGCAAAACAATACACAAGGAGTTAAACGATTTCCATGAAACCACATGATGCATCTTATACCTTATTGCAACGTCCCAGAAACAGATCTTTGGCAAAAGTTGAAGTTGGTTTCGACGTGTGAAGAAAGCGCCGAAATGATGACACGCTCACAGGCTTAAAGGCACTTAAAATATGCCTTCCCGCTCTGAACGCCATCGTGCTAGCCAGAATTCCCTTCCCTATCGTGACTTAGAGTAAAAATATTCAGGCTGTCATTTCAGCTCGATAAATACTTCTTCGGTCACCTTGAACGGCCTTCACTAAAAACCTTTGTACTCGCCCCAATCTTTCTCTTCTCCGCCTGGCTGCGCACAAAAGTTCCGCGATGATACGCTGGGAGCGATGAAGGATTACGGCAAGGAATCTATTTCCCTTCTTCGAATAAAAGTTAAGTTGAGAGTCAATATTCCGCTAGACGAACTCGAGGATTTAGGAGCAAATTCAAGGTGGATCATTTTTCTAGTTCCCAGCCTTAGAATGGCAAAGAATTTGTGAAGTCATAGTCGAGAGTACATCATCGAAATAATCATTAGCAAATTAATTAATTGAGGGATGGATACATATTTTTGTCGTTTTTTTGTTAAAGCTAACCACTCCAAAATTCAACCCAGCAACACTATTCGCTTTTATATGGAGGAAATCCGGCAAGATTTCCATATAACCCCATACATTAATTATGCGTAGCGTGTCGCAAGGAAACCTTTCTATTTAGTCTTTATGAAATGGAATGCATCATTAATGTATGGGGTTATATGGAAATATTTCCGGAAATCCATCACATGGACAAAACATCAAGAATTCAGCAAAAAGCAACTTTCACCTTTAAATATTTAGCCAATTTCTTTTCAATCAGTCATCTGGGGTCCATGCTTATCTTGGTTGGTGGTTCTTCGGCTAAAAGCTTACGATGTTTGAAATGAAAACTGTCAAAGGCTTTCAAACAAAAGTACCCGTATATTAAGTACTTAAATAACCCAGTTGGAAAACATCAAAAATGCTTTTGAGTTTTTTTTGCGTTTGTTAGAGAGGGTTGTAAAAGTCTTGATATCTATACAAGAAAAGGAATGATAGAGATGGAGTTTAAAGGGGTATTCACAGCATCTGCCATGAGAAGTAAGGTGGCATTGTGTAAAAGTATAGAATTTTGAGTGATGGGAATATCAGATATTAAAGAAAATACACAGACAAATCAATTACAGTATGGTGACTATCAATTTTATTTTAGCTTCCCAGTGTCACTTTTCATCATCATTTTCAATAGAATGTGTTGGGTCGCTTGGCCACAAACTTAGACCTGTAGTGAGACTTGATGATACGATGTGGCAGAGGAAATCTGATCTTGGAGTTCTGAAAAAAAGGAATATAAATATCATGATATATCTGAGGAAAAAAATAAACATTGGAAGGAACTTACCATAAATAAAAGAAACATTTGTTAGAGGAGAAAACTTGAGAGTATTTCATACACATTCAAACAATTCCACGACTTAACACACTCTTTGCAAAGACTTCCTTGATGTTTTACCAGAACATGAAGTGCAATCAAAATGACATGATCAAAGTAATTTTTGTTTGGATGCTCTTGGATAATCATTTCAAGGTACAATTTCTGTGACCCGTCAATCAACCTACTTTCCTAGTTTTCAATGTCCCATGCAAAACCAGCTTAAAATGACCTTTTATTAAGGTATATACATAAGCATGCATTTCTTCTGCTATGATATAACAGGGTCAAGCTTTCTATAGAAATTCTTTTAGTAGCCAGAAATTAAGAAAAAACCAGCTAGCAGAGGTTAAAATTTATTTCATATCAAGAGAATTATTTTACAACTATGTCTAATCAAAATAGCTGGCCCTTTATAAACAAGCAACAGGCAGAAATTAACTCCCACCAGTGCTTCTGGAAATCACAACTAGATTTGAGTGACATCTAATCAGCCACTTACATGCAACTGCTTCACGTGTGGTCTTCGGCACTTGCTGGCTGGGATTACATCAACTTTCATGATCTGAATGCTTGATCCTCGTGCACGATGGCGGGCAGCCATGTCTCGGTCTGCATATTAAAGGTAACTAGTTTGTGATTTGAAGTTTGCTCATGTGTACTGAACTTGATTGTAATCATTCAGTAAACAATTGATCCTTCCAAATATATTGAAAGTGTTCATGGTTTTCTGTGTTCCAGTGTAAAATTGCTAGAGCTTTATTGTTAGTCACTTCGGCGTAAACAGTTTTACATTTAAGGTTAAATTACTGTGTAATTAATAAGACACACTTTGCACAGCCAGCAATTTTGAGTAAAAAATTACCAACTGATAAAACAGCAATACCAAATGTTAATGTAGGTAGTATGGGTAACAACATAATCTCAAGTGCAATTCGTTGTTAATTAGCATGAATAATTTTTTAAAGACAACAATATTGCACAGGGCTGTAGGGAAAGTGCCAATTGTAACCTTTGAAAAATTCAAGTCCTTACTAATTACACCGGTATCCAGTCAAGTCGCCAACGGTTCAACTCGCCAACGCCAACTCGCCAACGTATAAAATCGAGTAGAGACACCGACGAGTTAGTCCTCAATCCAGTACGACTTATTAGAAGTTAACCATGTAGAAAAGTAAACGATCATTAGTAAAAAGAACATTCTTTTTCTTCCAACAAAGTTTAGAAGGATCTCAACGCGAATAAAGCATGATAAACATCGCCATTACTATAGCAGCTTCAGATGCTAACGAGTTATTTATTGTGACAACAACACTGTAAAGACTCATGCTAATCGGTTAGATTTTTTTCAGAAAACTTGGCTTTCAAGACAAGAGCTTTAGTAAAAAGCAATTCTTTTTATTTCCGAAAAAGTTTATAACAGTCTCAAGGCTAACAAAGCAAGATAAACGTCACCAATTACCATAACAGCTTCAGACGCATAGGAGTTGTTGTGGACAATAGCACCATAAAGCCTTATCATGATGATCGGTTAGATTTTTTTTAGAAAACTTAACTTTCTAGACAAGATCTTTAGTAAAATGCAATTCTTTTTATGTCCAACAAAGTTTTTAAGGATTTCATGGCGAGCAAAGAAAGGTAAACATCACCAATGACTATAACAGCTTCAGATGAGAAAAAGTGAGTGTGACAACAACACCGTAAAGACTCATCATGTTGATTGGTCAGACTTTTTAAAGAAAACTTAGTTTTCTAGTCGAGATCTTTTTTTAAAAAACAATCCTTTTCATTTCTAACAAAGTTTTTAAGGATTTCAATGCGAATAAAACAAGATAAACATCGACAATGACTGTAAAAGCTTCAGACACAAATGAGTGGTAACCAGTTGAGTCACCCGAAAGTGATCTCGCTCGAAGTCATGTTGCCCAAAACTCATGATCATGTTGCCCGATATTTTGAGTCATGTCACCTGAACTTTTATCGAGTGTTTAAACTTGAAGTAAAGTAGCATCTTAAGTAAATTGTAAGCAATAAATATGTAAAATGTTGACTCGTAAACTGTTTTGGTCCGCTAACCTATAGAAGACTCAAATACCACATGGTAATTGCTATGGTTGTCATGCAATAGCTCGTTCGCGTCTACAGCTTTTCTTTGGTCATTGACGATGTTCACTTTGCTTTATTCACCTCGAGATTGTTTTAAACTCTGTAGCAAATAAAAACAATTGTTTTTCACTAAAGATCTTGTCTAGCGAGCCAATCTCGAGGCAAATAAAGCAAAGTGAACATCGCCAATGACCAAAAAAAAGCTGTAGACGCGAAAACAATTGTTTTTATTTGCTACAATTTTTCTTTAAAAATCTGACTGATTGACAAGATGAGTATTTACGTTGTTGTTGTCACACTTACTTGTTCACGTCTGAAGCTTTTGTAGTCGTTACCGATGTTTATCTCGTTTTCTTTGCCTTGAGTTGCTTCTAAACTTCATTGGAAATAAAAATTATTGTTTTCTAGTAAAGATATTAACTAGAAAGCTAAGTTTTCTTTAAAAAATCTGACTGATTAACAGGATGAGTATTTGCGGTGTTGTTGTCACACAATAAATAACTTGTTCGCGTCTGAATCTGTCATAGTCATTGGTGATGTTTATCTTTCTTTGTTCGTCATAAGATCCTTAAAAATTTTATTGGACACAAAAAGAATTGCATTCTACTAAAAATCTTGTCTAGAAAGCTAAGTTTGACCGATTGACATGACGAGTCTTTAGTGTCGTTGTCCACAATAAATATAACTCGTTCGTGTCTGAAGCTGCTACAGTAATTGACGATGTTTATCATGCTTTGTTCGCATTGAGATCTTTATAAACTTTGTTGGAAGAAAAATAATTTTTTTTTTACTAAAGATCGTTTACATTTCTACATGCATAACTTCTAATAAGTTGTACTGGATTGAGGACCAACTCGCCGATGTCTCTGCTCCATTTTATACGTCGGCGAGTTGAACTGTCAGCGACTTGACTGTAATTCATTACACCAAATTACACATGAAATCATGCTGTTACTTACCAACAACTTACATGAAAAAGCATCAAAGAAAGTCAAACTCAGAGACCAAAGGAATTCAAAACATGCAGGCCACTTCGAATTTACAAATCATTGCAGCAAGTTCCCATGGCAGCCCATCATGGTTCATAACCAAGCCAAGGGGTTGGTTGGTAAATTTGATTGTCTGCCTGTGCTGTTACTAACAGAGTTTGGAGTCTGCAAGGCTCAACACTAACTTTTCAACTTACTAACCAAGTGGTTAGTGACAACTTAGATGTTGCAACAATTTCAGTTTGTTTCCTAGCCAAACTGGCTGTTGGAAATCGAAAACCACTTGCCAAAACTGAATTTCTACTAGTCTGTGGCTAGTTGGCAAATGTTAGTGTCGAACCCTAGTCTGTACTATAAATCGTGAACTGAGTTGTTTCCACTTGGATTTATGGCCTAAGGGCATTGTGCACAGGCTAGAAATCTCAAGTGGAAAAAAAAGTGGTTCTGTAACTCTCAATACAGACCAAGAATATTATGTTGGTAAGAAAATTATTATATTGTTTATGTTATCATATCTCTGGGTTCAAATCAAGGGGAATGATTTCAAGTCAAACAAAGTTTTAAATTTAGCAGGCCCCACTGTGAAATACAGCCTGCTAAATTGACCAATCATAGTGAAATACAGCCTGCTAAATTGACCAATCATAACACACACCCTTTAACCCCAAAGATCTGATTGTCCATTCTCCCCACTTGCTGTCACACATTTCCTTGTCAATTAGTTGTGAGAATTTGGCATTAGATCAGGATAACAACTTCTGCCTGATAAGTTCGAGTATTCTCATTACCTGTTTACTAGGTAATGTAGGGATATCATTGGGAGAAGTTACATGTTAATCACATCTGAGAGTTAAAGGATTAACTGAGAGATATAATATTTAACAATTATTCGCCAAAGGCGAGGTGAATATCATTGAATAATCCCTAAGTCGAGGGGATTATTCGACAATATTCACCGAACCTGAGGCGAATAATTGTTTTAGTATAATTTCAGAGCTGAACAACAGAGAAATTTCTAAAATCATAACATTTTACTAACATTTATTAACATTTTATTTTAACATTTTATATAAACCCCTTGGAGCGGATTATATATTGTCATATAAGGAACCCCTCAACTAATCAGATTGCTGGAAACTCTTTGCTCAGCTCTGAAATTATACTAATTGAGTTTACAACAACAAATTTCACACTCACAGCAGGAAGTTACAGCACTAGCCACTGTCAAGTCACGGTACTCCCTGTACATGTTGTGAGTTCCACTACGAGAGTCATAACGCAGCCAAACACCAAAGTTCTTGATCCTCAGAGGTTTCTTTTCAAAAATCTGTTAAAATCAAGTAACAAACCTTTGACTTAATGAATGAAACTCAAAGCTAAAGACAAGATGAAAAAACATCTTTCTCTATTTCTTTACTGGGCTCAAAACTTACCATCTTTAATCTAATAACAAAACATGACACTATTGACATTGCCGATCTCAGCAGTAGGCAAGGACGAGTGTCATATATGAACTTTATAATCGGCCTTGCTAACTATAGAGTCTGTTGCTCAGTGGTAGAGCATCAGAGCCCAGAACGCAAAGGTCTGAGGTTCAATTCCTCATGGGACTCGGAATTTTTCCTTTATCCCATGCTCGTGACAGGACTAAAAACATCTTTCTCTAGGTGAAACTTAACATTACAACTTCCTAGATCTAAATATCAAGTCTAGCTCATGTGTTCCATACATTCATAACTTTGGGCTCTGAGAAATTGGAAGCCAATCACTGGAATTACGGTCTTTTCGTCCAGAAGTCTTTTCATGCAAGTCTTTTCGTCCAAAAGTCTTTTTGTCCAAGTCTTTTCATCCAAAAGTATTTTCACTAAGTCTGTTTGTTTACTTGTTAAGTCTTTTCTAGAAGCAAATAAGTAACTTTTAGAAGGCTAGATAAGGCTATAGAAAGAACTTGTTGCGAGCTATTCACGTAGTGATGCTACACTTTGTTGCCCTTTTACGCTCAATAGACGCTTAACAACAAGCCTAATATATATTCCCACTTATTTCGCGTGAAACAATTAAACGGCAAGCAAGTCTTTACTTATGCCACTATTTAATAAAGTGTATTGCATTACAACTTCATTCATTCTCTGTGTATTTATCTTAAAATTCATGACGTTGAATTTGTAAACAAAGTTTGGTGACTAAAGGTATCAGTACCAAAATGGGGGCGACTCGCAACAAGTTCTTTCTATAGCCTTATCTAGCCTTCTAAATGTTATTTATTTGCTTCAAGAAAAGACTTCACAAGTAAACGAACAGACTTAGGTGAAAATACTTTTTGATGAAAAGACTTGGACGAAAATACTTTTGGACAAAAAGACTCTCGGACGAAAAGACCGGACTCTAATCACCGTACATTTTTTTATTTAACTTGTGCACTTGAGTCAACAACACAAAAGATCATTTCACTGGTAAATATGCCTGACATGGATAAGTAACATTGTCACTCAATCATTAATTCTCTTCGTCCCCTAAGGGACATGAGGCTAAACCAATAAAAAGAAGTATTCAGATGAGCACACATACCTCTCTACAGGACACAACCTCTCCATTGGACTTCTTGATTTTCTTCAATTTGGCAACAAAGTACCAGTATTTAGATTTGGCAACAACATCGTCCGGAGCAAAAATCCTCATTTTATAGAGGGGTGGAGAGGTGTTCTTCTCCGATGGCAGACGCCTGCCGATGATTTCAAATTCTTTTAACTGTGATGAGATAAAATAAATGACAGAGCCAGATACTAAAATGTTTGGGAGTTTGTTGAACGAACACGGTATTACTGTACTTGGTTAAGCTTACTTCCCATTAACTAGTTTAAACTGACGCGATTAAATAGCTCAACACAAGATTTCCGATTTTCTGCGAGAACTTAACACTTAAGTGGAAGAGAGACTAGAAAATATTTAGGATTGTAACGTGTCGCGATTCACAGACGAAATATTTCCCTCGAATTTCTCGCGATCGTTCGCCTCTAAAACTGACTGCTTCGCCTGAGAATGAACAATTTTTCATTCTGTGGAATACATAGAGTTTAATCTTAATGTCAGGGGTTGAATTTATTCGCCATGCAGGGTGGTAAGCCGGCAAAATTAACTCGTTATTACCTCTCCACGGATTTTCATTTTCAACACGAGGGAAGAAGAGAAAGAACCTTAGGATGCTGGGGGTAATATGGCGTCGCGCAGGGCCTGATGGTTTTTCGGTACCAATCTCCCGCTGCTAAAGGAGCAAGGTAAGTAGACAAAAGGGATAGGTAAGGCTTTGAACTAAGAAATTATTTTTCCTCAACTAACGAAAGACTTAATAACTCTTGTGAAGGCGTGGGAAAGAGAAAAGGTCGGAGTTTCTCAGGAAGATTCAACCCCAGGCCTTGTGATAATTACAATTAATTATTTGAGGCGCTGAATGTCTTCTCGCAAGTTCGAAATCATAACGGAACTCGGAAGAAATAGTGTAAGCAGGCGCGCAGCGTCCTCTACGCATATACGCATGTGCTTACTTGAAGTGACCAGAAAAATTTGAAAAAAATGTTGTGTTTGCGCCAAGTTTTCTCAAAATAAGGGCAAGACGCTTTTTTCTTTGCTTGTATTCACACAACTATTTCAAACAAGAAATAAAGAACGCAGTATTTTTCGCTCAGTTTACTTAGGTTACTAGATCATATGTACTTATGCGTACTTGAAAAAATGACCACGCTACGTGCCTGGTAAGATATAGGAATTCAATCCCAAAATTGAAGAAAAATTAGATAACCACATCCAGTACGCTTGAGGGAAATTTCCCCAACTGGATATAAAACGAACGTTAGAACCAAACATGTAGATGGAACATCATCAAGTTGAATTCCTCCTTAAGGTTTTCGTCCTGGAAAAACCCTGGTCATGACCGCTGCTTAACAGTGAAACTGCTTACTGTTTGTCGGCAGTCGGACCATTATAGATTGTGCTAGTGTAAATTCTGGCGTAATATGGAAAACCGAGCATAATTTTTTTCACTTCTTACAAAAGTAGCACTGCCAGCATAATACGCGTATTTTTAGTTATTTAGTTATTTTTAGTATTTTTTTTTTATTTTTATAGTGCCAGCATAATACGCGTATTTTTAGTTGATATCTAAGATTACTTTCAAGTTGGGTCCACTGTTCAGTTTAAAGTATTTTTTCACCAGTTCTAGCCTGGAGTAAAGTGCAGTAGTTTATCAGAGCAGTTGTGTAACCCAAGATCCCTAAAGAAGATATCATGCCTTATTAAAGTACATATACACAATTTGCACTTTTTTCTTTCCTTTTACTTTATCGAAAAGCATCTGAAACAAAAAAAATATAATTTTTTTCTGTAATTTGGAAAAAAATCGGGCAATGGTAGTAGCGTAATATACAATGAGCTACTTTTACTAGCATAATTTATAAAGGCCTAGCTCCCATGCTTTACCACTGAGTCGGAGGGGGGGGGCACCAGGCACGTATGGTACTTTTTAGTATGCTCGGAGGGAACTTTCAGAACTGGATTTTGAAACAAACGTTAGTACAGACATGTAGATGGGACACCACCGACTTCACTTCCTCCTTAAAAGTTACTCGTCTTAAAAAAAATTCTGGTCATGACACTAAACAGAAAAACTGCATACTGTTTGCATACTCTTTAAGGACAGGTAAAAATAAAAGTGGCCTTCGAGCGGGAGGGATGGGCGACAATCGTCTTGTATCCAGACCTTTCACGGCCTGACTGAGTAACAGTTACAAGGTAGGATCTCGATACGAGATTTTAGTAATAGTTAAACGGAAGGGTCTGGACACGAGGTTTGGGTGACAGTTGTTCTTCATTTTAATCAATAATCGCGTTTGAAAGACGGTCTTCGTATATTTATTTTGCCTTTCGCTTTTGCTTGCACATATTTACATCGTAATATTTTCTTAAGAGGTGACCCTCTAACGTTTTGCGTCTCTTCATTTTTGTGTCTATCTTTTCATTTCAATTCACGTCCTTACTTGTAGAGTTTGCTATTTGTAGATTTGAATATGGGAAGAGAAAAATTGTTTGCATTTAATTTACAACGTTTGCTCAACAAAGGATACTGAACCTTAAGTTTACATTAAACTAAGTTTAATCATCTAATCGTTCTTGATGACCCTTCACACCCTAAGATCATTATGCAAGTTCTCAATACTGTTCTCTATACATTTCTTACTGGCGCTGTCAAGGAGAATTTGTTTATCGATCAAAAGCTTTCTCATGACCTTAATGTGTGAATCGAGGATGACTTGTAAGGAGAAATTAGATGCTGGTCAGAGGTCAAAGGGTTTAAACTAACGAATGTCAAGTTTGGTAGAATTCGGGTGTGATTGACTAGAAATGTTTTTTCCTCTTCTGTTTAGTTATCTCATTTTTAGTACTGTTTGCCGTCAATGTGCCTTTCTTCAACGAAGTTCCTTCGGTTTGGCAGATAACTGCGAGACAAAGATTGTCCAATGGGCCGAATCTACATCTGTGTAGGAGGTTATGGCCGATAGGGACTGGGTTAAAATGCGCACTTCTTGGAGTAACTTTCAAGACTTTCAGCTGTTTGTTTAGGTTATGAACTGGTGAACAATTGACCTCGCAGGATACAGATGTGTTTATGCATATACCCACGACTGTCTTTGTAGTTCCGTTCATAGATATTCTATGAAATAAGGAATCAACTCCAGCATCATAAAAGGTAGGATGTGCTTGCGTGCAGACTTCCTCTTATGTGCCTCACGCACATGATGTCACGAGAACTTACCACTTCCGGTTAATCCAAATATTGACGCTATGACGTCACGTGATGGCGGAAGAAGAAAAGGTACGCGACTTTAAGTTTTTGCGTTTATTTGGGAGCCTGGGCTGAGCGTGAAATTCAACCTTCTCGCGGAACAGAGATATCTGGACGTGTCGGTTTTGTGTCGCACCGACGAAGTTCGTAGCTCTTTGTTTTTTGCGTTCCAGGAAATTCCACGACCATTTCTGAGTACCCACACTCTTGGCAAAATTTGAAGGCCTCTTGAAAGAGTCTGGTAACGATGAATTTTCTTCTTCCGAGAAAACAAGTGTCGACAGACATCCTCCTAACCGACGCTATTGTTTCAGATTTTTGATCAATTGCAATGAATCCGATGATCGAGTTGTCGAACTCCGCCACCAGAAAATTACACTTTGCCTTGCAAAGGTAATACTGCAATTAATAAAACAAACAGAAATAAGTTGACGTGTGACTCAACACATTGGAAACCGCACAACATTTTTTAAGGCATGTACTGAATGAAGTTGTATGGCAAGCGGAAGAATAATTTGGCGCGTTTTGATGCTTGTATATTTTGCGGATTGTCCTCGATTGATGTAAATATATTCTTGCAAGGATCAGACGCTGCGATGATTTAACAATTCCTGGGCTTTGAAACCGGATTCACTTCACGTTAAATGTAAATTCCTCTGGTATAACTCGTTACAAAATTTAAAATACGAGTTAACGTTCCTTTCCTTGTTAATTTTCTGCTTCTAGAACAGAAAATCGCCAAAAAGTTCCCAGTAAAAACGTAACTCGAACTGCAAAAAATTTGTTCCAACCAAAAAACATGAAATGGCCGATTCGAAAAATGGAACTCCGACAAATTTGAAGCTACGCGCAAACTATTATATTCCAGTTGGGAACAACAATATTGGACATTTGTTCGACAGAAAAAAATAACCTTCGTCCAATATTGATGTGGCCCGATGTGTAGGGNTTTAGTTAGAATTTCGAAAATGGCTGCATGTGTTTACCGTGTCATAGGGCGCCAGACCTCAAACTCAACATAACGCATAAAAGTAGCGTTGAGTTCCAAATGTAAATTCAAATAATTTTTCGCCGCGGTTTCGCTTCGCAGACAACGCAAATTTTGGTGATTTCACGTTGTTGTTTTGCAAAGGACGGCTAAGAAATGTACAAAGTTTTAAAACGAACGTGCTGGGCTATTGTTCTGACAATTAGATCTATTGTTTTCCACGTTCTCGTTGCCGTAGCCGTCGTGGTTTACTTAAAGTCCCTATTGCTTTTATCGATGTTACGACACGAAAACTATATGAAAAGACAGTCATATGTTACACAAATCATAGAGAGATAATGAAGTCTACACTTCCCTACATAATATGAAATCAAGCTGTTATCAAAGGTCAATTATGGGGGATTAATTTCAGATGTGCACGTTTCTTTTTAAGCATTGTTTACACGAGCGCCGCTAGCCTGCCCGAACTCTTTGCAAACTACATCCGATAGACAGCTTTGAAGCGAATACAGAGCCTGGCATCTGTGGCCACCATTCAGCCTTTATGGCGAATTCTCTACTAATGAAATGAACTTCTTGCGACTTCAATCTATATTTAGATAGTCACGTTTTTTCCAGAGGGTATGACCAGTCCACGAGTTTCCCCGAAATAGACAAAGATTCCACCGCTATTTTTTTTACCGACGCACTGGACATTTTACACGTGAATCAGTTAAGCAGCACGCGTGACAGATAATAGATTGATTTGAAAGAAAACTGACTCCTACTGTGTTGTATAGCGATATGATGCCATTACGTCAGAGTGGCGGTCCTTTAAAGAAGCGTGCGCTACCCTAAAACCAGACGAGCATGAGTTTTTCAACGCGGAAGATAATCTTTTTTTTTTTTTTTCACGTGAACTCTGCCCGTGTTTAAATAACTTTCACTGAAATCGTCGATCGCTAGTTAATAACTTGTAGCTTTTACAAATAATGCTAACCATCTTTACAATGCGGATAAGATAGAATGTTCTCGCCTCTTCTGTAAAGTAATCCCACGTCATGTGCGCGCGATGAGGGCACAAGCGTGTAAAGGAAACGGAAATCCAAATACTTAAATCAATGGACACGATAGCACGCCAATTTCAACTTCCCCATTTTTTTCTTGATCGGAAAGTTTTGAGATTTCTGTGTTTTCAATTGAATTGGTCAGTCTCCAATTTCTTGTCGTCTGAACTGAGGAAAAGCGCTGAAAATAACTTGAATTTGAAACATCTTTCCTTGAAACAACAACCTCACGCAAAGAAAACATTCTGGGAATGCACGGTCTAGACATGAGTGAAAGAATGAAATACGGTATAACCTGATTTCTAAACGCATTAAAACGCTTTTGTTTTCGAACATCAGCGAGCGATGGTGGGTCGAATACAAGGCTGACTTTCGTTCCCAGCTTCACAAATGAAGAAGAGTGACGTACTTCGGAGAGATTTGTTAATGCGTTTAAAAATTAAACGTTCGATTAGAGCTTGATAAGGGCTTTGAAAAATTTTTGAATTGTTACATAATCAAAGTCAGATCTCCGAGCCAAGTGTAACATGTACATTGTCATTCTGTTGACTGCTCGTTAGAACGAGTTAACATCTATGAAATTTAATTATTTTGGAGTCAAGGAGTTTTGAAAACGGGTTCTCCAAAGGTCTGTTTTCTAATTCAATGTTTGTTGGGAGATCATTCACTCATAACGCACCGGCTACCCCCCCCCCCCCCCCCCCTAGTGCCCATTTGACGATTTTCAACCCGTTTTTTCAATACAAAGTTGAATGGCAAAAGTACTTTGAATTTATTTTTCTTTTCAACGACAACAAAGAGATTTGGGCTAGGCTAAGAAGGAAATGAAAATATATAGCTGAAGGGCTCTTGTGCAAGCAGAGGCCATTACCGCGACTGATACCAATCATAAGCGGTGCGGTACCTCAAGATGTCCGTGTAGCTTTGAAAATACAGACTTAGCCCTCGGTCATCGATACCGTGATAAAAACAGCAAATCTCACCTGGGAAATGTTTGCCAAGTCCCCTTTCAATGAGCTAGTCAAGTATTGATAAAACCAACGGTAAGTATACACGAAAATAGCGGCAGCTGTCAGGATGACTCCAAACAAAGCAATAACAAAGGATCTGGCCAGCATTGCCCCAACAGCCATGAATAAAAGATGCAAAATGATCGCTGGAGGACTTCGAATGGCTTGTGCAAACATTGGCCATACCAAACACCTCGTTTCTTCCAAGAAAAGATTGTGAATTCGCCGAGTATCATCCCGATGAAATCGGCGAACGCGTAAATCTACGTCCAAAGTCGGAATCCGCCGAACCGCTGTTGTTTGTGTTGTTATTCTCTGGCATTGGCACTCCGAATCCATCTTTATATTTTAAACCAGTGATATTCTTCAAAATCAAGGTACTCCCGGTATTAGCGGAGTGAATCGCTACTAGCTTGTTGTGTGAGTGAATGCGAAATGCTCTTCAAATTTAGGCGAGACTGATCCACTTCGCGCGTCAGGCATATCACGTCTCGATGATTGACGTGTTCTCGTGTACGTGCTAAATTTAGCCCACCCCTGCTCAAATAAGGAATCACCCAGGTCACAATGTACAAGGTTGATGTATCTTGACTGTTTACAGCTAAAATCCTTTGAAAAACTATATCAAAACGTTTAACTTGAAATCTCGAGCGACCATTTTCGTGGAAAGAGCGGACAAGAAACCTAGAATGCTAATGTACTTTTCTGCGAAATATTCAAGGGGGGTACGAAATTACTTCCGTTCAACTACCATATACTTTTGAACTTTGGACTGGATATGTAGAGTAGAAAAGACTAGTGGGAAGTAGAATGGAAACTTTTACTTTCCAAGGATAGGTCTCTTATACCCTATATGCTTTCGTTCGCTGGAGTAACATAAGGACCCTTCGCGGTTCGTCTCCTTTGATTGGCCGACAATATGAATGTCCCTTTTATCTGCTAACCTGGACATACTGTTTGCTAAATCGTGCGTGGCCAAGTTTCTTATTTTGCCTCTTTCGGCCATCGCAGTCTTCATAGCGGCAGGTCTAATCTCTACGTAACTTTTGCAACTGAAACGTTTTGGCACCGTGACGTGATAAGACCCTCTCCTGCCCGGATTAATTGCATCGCAAACCACACCTAATGAAGCCGACTGTAACCAAATACTAGAGAACGTTTGTGATATTTCTGTTCTGCTGTCATGCTAACGTCACGTATATTGCAAAAGAGGCCGTAAACACTCGCAAACGTACGTTGACCCTATTATTTCTAGTGTGGAGCTAAGACCCAGCTAAGGACTGAAAATGGGGGTTGGGGTGAAGCTCCTTGCGGTCATAGATTGGGTAGTGAGGTTTAGGGTATATAGCTGAAGTAAAGGTTTTGACTGTCCAGTCTGATTGCCTGCAGATGAGGCTTTACAGTCTGATAACGAAGAAAATAATTTTCTATATGTGGGTTCCACTTCCTTCCCGATGACAGCCAATCGGCACAGGGTTTAACGTGTAATCTCTCCCTCTAATATTAGAGACTTTAAGTAAACCTCTACGGCTACGGCAACGAGAACGTGGAAAAACAATAGATAATTGTCAGAACAATAGCCCAGCACGTGCGTTTTAAAACTTTGTACATTTCCAAGCCGTCCTTTGCAAAACAACAACGTGAAATCACCAAAATTTGCGTCGTCTGCGAAGCAAAACCGCGGCGGCAAATTATTTGAATTTACATTTGGAACTCAACGCTACTTTTATGCGTTATGTTGAGTTTGAGGTCTGGCGCCCTATGCGGAAACGGTAAACACATGCAGCCATTTTAGAAATTCAAACTAAAAGTAAAAACTCATTTTTTAATCGACGTGTTTCGTGGCGTTGCCGTCCTGACTGCTTAAAGTCCCTATCAGTAAACATTTCCAACAGAAAGGTAATGAGAATATGTGCACTTATCAGCGACATGTTATATCGAAACAACACCAAAGTCTCTTAACCTATGAACAAGTAAATACATTCGAGCTAAAAGGAGAATTAGGAATTGAGTAATTGGGGTCAGAAGGTTTTTAAACAAAGGCAATTTGCGAAGTTCGTGATTTCCAGCACGTAGCATAAACGGTCAGTGTCACGAGTTTCGATCGATTGTTATTGAAAGCAATGAGATGACCTCTCTACATTGGAGAACTTCAGTTTCATCAGTTATTTATGCTCTCAAAAGCTTTTTCGTTTTGTCTTTTACACGAAATACGCAGATAAATGTTCTGTTTTTAATATAACATCTATTGCGTACGTATTCGTCTGCTCGGCACCGTGATACAGACGCAGTGGGGTATGTCTGCTCTTACTAAATAGCGAGATTTAGCATCACGTTTACGTGAAACGTAAACGGCAAGAGTGTCCACCTTGTTTTTCCCGCCATTCTTTCACGTTTGCAGGATGTGCTTTCCTTTGTTACGTGAGAGTAACCTATTCGCGTTTGCCGTGTACGAAAGATTTTCTTCGCTTTTTTTTTCTCACGGAATAGAAGATAATTGCCGGAGACAGGGCATCAAAACTATTCCTCGTAAGTCATACAAGGGCGCTTTCAAATCTATCAGGACACGAACTCACGCAAAGCTAAAGCAGCAAGGCTCACGCTGTTTTACGTGAAACGTGAACGGGCAAGCTGACGTTTACCGTTTCACGTAAACGCAGTGCTAAATCTCTCTAATAGATATCGTCGCTTCACGTACGATGAACGATTTCGCATGAACAAGTAAATCTGCATGCGAGATAGAGATGGATCAAAAGATCTGAGGTTGCAAAGGCTGCATAAAGGAACATCGCTTTGAGAACCACCACACATATTTTTCGCTCATCGGATATAATGATTCAGCTTGTCCAATAACTGCTGTGTGTCCGGCCACACAAGCCACAGGAAACCCAACATCAAGCCCACACCGGTGGATGCACTTTACGCAAGTTTCGACCTATAAATTTGGTAACTTTCCGCAGAGGGGTCGCACCCAGACCCCTACTATTAGCGCTGCAGGAAGCACGTTTCTGCCCGGATTGTTGAAAGATTAAGATTCTGGTTGCGTTTTTAACTACGAGTTATTGGCGAAATTTTCTTCGATACGTTGGAAAGCTTACTAGCCCCCTTCATATGCGTAAACAAGAATTTAACTCAAACAGAGGTCTCGATGTATTGATTATACGATTTGGATTAGTACTTG